CAAGATCATAAGGTAGTTGAAATGATGCATATATCATTGACAATTAAGGAAAGAGTTGTGGAAAAAGAAAAGCCAGATATCAAGCATGTGAAGTTGTCTAGACCAAGATATATGGATTAGAGCTAATGAAATAGATGTTTTAACAACAATGTCAATATCAAGCTTAGTTGATCATACAATTGGATGACCATTTGGACAGTTAGTTACCTAACAAGATGAGTTTGTCTCAATCATTCAACTTCTAACAAATAAAAAAGATGCTTTAAGAAAGGAAGTACAACATTAGGCTTTTAAAACCACGCGCTATTACATGCATGTTGAAGATATCAATAATTATACCATAATAATGAGGGGCATAGCTTAACATGTAACATAAGTCTAATCAATTTTAAAAGAGAAAATCTTATACTATTTTTTGTTAGATTCAAGATTACATTAATAAGGTTATATTATATCCTAGTTTGAGGTTATGAAAAAAATAAGTAAAGTAGTTTTGTTTAGGACAATACTGTTAAAAAAATAAAATTGTATTACATTAAACTTGTAAGTTATTGTTTTATATTAATGAGAAAATGTTTCATCACACCTTTAAATATTTGTATTCAATGAATGGTTAGCTCGATATTTGATGCTTAATTTATATTTAAATAAATTATAGTGAGAGATTTTTAGGCTAAAGTTATCATGAGTTGGTATTTTCACTAGGAACTTTTCAAGAAAATTTAGCTATATTCACAATATTATAATAAAAAAAATGATCCTAATTTATCTTCATGGTACTACATTAAAAATGATTAAAAAAATAAACAACAATAAACGTGTATATTCATGCTCTTTACATTTTATTTATATTTTTTAGCATATGCATGCAACTTGGTCCATAATCCTACAAAAGCTAAACTTCCCCTGTAATATACATCTTTTAGTTTATTTTTTCCATTTCTAATCTAATGATACAATAACACAATGCTGTTTTATTAATGTGTTTTTTAGCAATATTATAAAAATCTAATGTATTAAATTAATATTATTTTCTTTTTATTATTGCATATCATCCACTAATTTATTATTTCATATATATATATATATATATATATATATATATATGAAATAATAAATTAGTGTATTAATGTCTATATGAAATTATTTAAGAGAAACGAAGTGCAAGAAAAATAGAAGAAGACCGAACAGTTCACTTACAGACTTCAAAGCTACAAAAAAAAAAAAAAAAAAGGATTTAAGGACGAAATGTAAGAGAGAACCTCAGGATAATCCACTCCAAAAAAAAATCAAAATGGCACTGCTCTCTTCTTCTCCTTCCCTCTCAATAACTTCTCCAAATTATCGTTACTACCCTTCCCGTCGACTCTGCCTCTACCCAATCTCAGCCACACACGTAGTCACTCCACACCACATCGACAAGTCATCGCTTCTAATCTCCGAAACGTCGGAGGAGGACCAACTCTGGGCCGCCGCGTGTCTCCGTGTCCGTTCCTTCCACGAATTCAAGCCTTCCACTTTCGGTATCCAAGTCAGTCTTTGATTTTCTCTTTGAATTAGTAATTTTTTTTTAAAAATTTTGTGTTTGGTTGACAACAAAATTGAAACTGATTAATAATTGTTAGGATCATAAAAGATACCTAGCAGAGCGTGAATTCGAAGCTTTAAAAGAACGAATTGCTGGTAAAAGAACCGGTTTTAATAGAGTTTCGTGTTTAAACGCGTCGCTTCCGTTGTCACAGTTGTTGAGCTTGCCTGATGATGATTTATTCGCGCAATGTAAGGTTTGTTTAATTGATTTTACTACTGCTGCTGTCCGTGTTAAATTTGCAAGTGATAATAATGTTGTCTTTTTTTTCTTCTTCTTGTAATTTCTAATTTTAATTAATTGTAGTTTAGTGAGAATGGAGAAGATAGAGTGGTGGTGGGGTCACTTGATGTAAATCAATGTATGAGTCTTCCTGATGAAATTACTGGAATGAAACCTGAGGTAATTTCTTTTTTTAATTTCTTTAATTGTGGATTATTATTGTTCTTGTCTTGATTATAGACATTATTATAAATAGGCAGATTTGGGGGTGTTCAATCTGAATAAATAAATAAATAAATAAATAGCTGAATTGCTTAACCCCACATCAGAAATTAATTTTACTATCTCTGTGCATTCTTTGTTTGCATTATATATACTTACATTACTTGTCTGGAGTAGAGCATTTATTAGGCTTTCCTCTAGTTTCTCTAATACACGGTATTTTTTATTTTTTTTGGGTTTTCTGGTGCTTAAATGGTCACGTTTTGATGTTACTTTCACAAAACATTTCCTTCGATGAAGATAAAGTATGATTGCTAGGGAATGCTATGTGGGCTGTATTTTCTTTGATCGACACATTTCTATTCTTGCTTAAATGAAAATTTGTTTGACTACTTGCTGTTTACATCTGGTTTGGTTTCAATGTCTCTCCTTCCTTGCTTCATGCTTTCGATATTGTTCTGTATTTTTTATCAATTTGGTTCATGAAAAACTGTTCTTTTTTATTTTCTCCCAAGAGTGCCAATACACAGTGTACTCGTGATCGCTTGTTTTTGAGATCTTTTCTTATTTTATCAGTTTTTTCAGGAATGCTAACACAGTTGTAATTGCTTGTGTTTAATGTTATCTGAAAAAGTTACTTTTCAAAGCTTTCCAATCTTTTTTCTTGTAGAATAGTGTAGTATAATACCACAATCTCACTCTGTGAACACCATCTTTATGGATAGTACTTAGGAGTACTGTGATATAATTTCTGGTCAGCCTGGCATGATTTCCTTGGACTTTGACACGTCCATCATGAATTGTTCCTGGCCAGGTCATGCCCAGACCTAAGGCCTGATTACTTGTCTTGTGCATTCCTGGATTGAACAAACCGTAGCTTCAGTTTTGAATACTTTGGTTAGTAAGGTTTCTTATGGTTGGGCCAGGCCAGGAGTCATCTCTCTTGTGAAGAATAGCTAGAATGAAAATTATCCTAATGTGTGTTTTTTATTGGAAATGTAGGAATTTCTTTCCCCAAATGTTTTCTGAAACAACAATTATGTAAAAAATGACAAGAAGAGCGTAAAAATAAACTACCACTCATTGTTGCACCCCAGTATTTATTAGTTTGACACAGCTTCTATTATATTGTGAATTTTGAAATATTGTAGTCGTTTTCCATGTTGCTTCAACAGGGTATTGAAGGTCAATTTGCTAGGGGATACTTGAGCAATGTTTGTGTTGCCAATGAACTTCATAGGAATGGATTGGGTTATGATCTTGTTGCAAAGTCTAAAGCAGTTGCTCAGAAATGGGGTAAGAACTTGTTAAAGTCATTTTCAGAGCAGCCATACCTTCTCTAATCTTTCAGATGCAGTACATGCACATTGCTACAATGATTCTCTAAACATAGAAAAGAAAGGAAGGGGAAACCTGGAAAATAATGCCAAAAATGAGATTGATGTATGTTTGAGAATTGAAGTACAGAATGTGATATTTGCAATTGCTCTATATTGTTGCTGATTAATAATCTTGAATAGGCATTACCTGGATACAGATGGAACTAAGGCTCACGCCTATACTTTCCATCTTGAGTATCGTGCTTTAAATTTCATTGAGATGTTTTTACCTCTTTCCAAATTCTCTACTAGCTTGTTTTAAGTTCTACTTATGAATAATTTAGTTTAGTTTGGTGAATTATTTTCAGGCATAACCGATCTCTACGTCCATGTTGCTGTCAACAATGAACCAGCAAAACAATTATACAAGAAAAGTGGTTTCATCTATGAAAATGACGAGCCTGCATGGCAAGCCAGGTTCCTTGATCGGCCACGGAGGCTTCTATTATGGCTTGGTCTCCCAGGCAACCAAAACTGGTGATGGTGTTGATGATGTGCCATACGTTTTTAATCTTCATATCACTTGATGAAATTCTTTTCTGTGGTGTCAGTCAATGTTAATAGCATTTAAACACACCTTTTTTCTCCTCCTTTTCACTTCAAATTTTAATTTGTAAAGCATCTGGTAACAAGGTGGTCAGAGGAACTGGTATCAATGTGACAATGAAAAATTATGATTATATTATTGAGAAGGTGTTTGAGCTCAATGACATTTGTTTTCCATGGCATTAATATATTGATTATATGAGATTATTTTTCTCTTCACTGCTCTCTATAGTTGATTACAATTCGACGAGTCAAGTAGGTATATGCATGCATGCCGGTCTCTTGTAAATGCTAACGAGTGAGCCTCCAAAATTTCCTAATCTCTCTATTACCTAAGGAAGCTACTATGCTTCTCACCCACCTTTTACAGGTGGTTTGAAGCTATTACTACCCTTTTGGGAAGCAGGATTAGTTGCTTTTTGGAAGCTTATATTGTTTGCCATTTTAGCTAGTTTAGGTCTCCCTTGATCTTGAATAAATAGACAGCAGCAGGAGGCAGCAGTGATGGCTGAATCACTTATGGACTGGGCTTAGGGTCCGATTTGTCTCCTTTTATTGGATCTTTTAGGTTCAATAATTGTACCATTGCTGTGTAGTGTTCCCCCTTGATTTGTTCGGCCTTTTGGTGGTGTATTATCGAACGAAGACAATGTTCTAACGAGGTTAACCTCTCTCAACACCTGCAAATCAAGCATTTTCTTTGATAGCCTGCATATTTCCCTTATCTGCTGTAGCTCAGCATGCCCTTCAGAGCTTATTATGAAACGGAGTGCAAAGACAAACTGTTTAGGCAACTAGTAGTGCAAGACAATCAAGCACTAAATTGGCACTACTATGATGATTATTGCACTGTTCTTCATTAAATTATAATCATAACTAATCTCTCAGAAATCTGCTCTCATCATCATCATCATCATCATCAAAGCGGATCATAGCTTAAAGTGTCATTTTCATATTTTCCAGTTACCAGTATTTATACATTAAAATAAGAAGAAAGAAAGAAAAAACATCTTCTAAGCATAAAAATGATTTAATACCAAAACTAACAAAAACTAAACAGAAAAGTTTGAATGACTGTGCTTTACAAGGATATCTGTTGCTGTACAACCAAGACTGAGTATCTTTCAGTGGTTTCCATTGAAGCGAGCAGATTTCCAATGACACCAAGCTCTGGGTACTCGTTCATATAATCAAGACCCGCTGTTTGTATTGTTTCCACATCTTTCCTTCTCCCAACAATAAAGAGGTCATATTTATTGAGGATTGATCGGATTCTCTTTGAAGTTTCCAGTCCATCGCTTACCGTCTCCTCAATATATTTCACTTCTCCATGCTCTATAGAGCCAGGCTTAATATTCCTCAACCTCTCAGAATCTTGCATTTTCTCCCAATCAGATTTAATCTCACAAGTTGAGAGAACGAAATGGATTATTGTTAGGCTAATGTTTCTGTGCTGAGACATGCGTTTAGCCAACACCAGAGCTTCTCGATCATCTTCGCCTCCGAAGAATATCAGAGCAACAAGTAGGGACTGCTCTCTTGATGATTCCCTGGAAATGGAATTTACTTGATTACCATGGTCGATGAGGATCCCCACTGAGCATGGTGCTCTCTCAAGGACACAACAATTCAGTGTCCTAAATCTAGAGTCCTGTGACTCAATAGACCCATCAACAAGCCATTTTAGATGAAATGGAAGCACTATAAAGGATGCAAGTTCATCCAATGCAAGTGTGCATATGTCCTGGTGCATGAATTTGGTTGGAGAGATTGATGTGAAGACATTCACAGATTCTATCTCGCAATTGTTTCGCCAGAAGTTACTGAAAGAGAGAATGACATTCTCAGAAATGGAGCGGGCAGAGAGAGACTTTTTCTGCTTCTGGTGGGAAATGAAGAGCGAGGTGGCTCGCCCACTGATCTTGATAAGATGAAGCGCACAAACAGAAACTTGGCTCTCTAGAGTTGGACACAAGGCTTGGAGAAAATTGATGATGCTGGTCACGTTATCTGGCCTGTAAATGCATGCTAGCACACACAGATCTTTGCTATGCATAATGTTCCTTTTCTGATAGCCTGCATATTTCCTTGATGGATCATACAGCCAGTTCACGAAAATAGGCGAGATGGTTGCTGACACTAGAATGGTAATGGCCAAAAAGGAGAACATCCCTTCAGTAAATACCTATTCTTGGACACGAATAAGAAGAAAATGAGAGAACATTAGAGCTAAATTAGATATCCGACATGCTAAAATTGATTGGCTAACAATTATGCTATGGAACTCAAAGCATCTAATGTCAAGGGTTGATTAAATACCCCTGATTCTGAGATAAGTGCATACACGCCCAGCTCAACGATCCCTTTGGAGCTTATTATGAAAGCAAGTGCGAAGGCATCCTGTTTTGGCATCCTGTAATAAAAGAGAGTTACCAAGCAAGCTCCAAATTTGGTCAAGCTGACTACAGTGACGACGATTGCTGTGCCCTTCGTTAATTTTTTGTGAAAATTGATATCCCTAAAATTTGTTTTCATCGTGCACATGGCCATAAAGAGAGGTATAAGTACGCCTGAGACCATGCATTCGAACTTCTCAACGAGAGCTGATGCAAGAGGAGGTCCTGCTGGTACAGCCAATCCAAAAGCAAGTGACCCAAGGAACATGTTTAGGCCAATAAACTGAAATATTAGACTAGAAACCAATGCGCCTAGAACGATGAAGTAAATATATAAATCTCTGACAGGCCTTCCTTCGGGTGTTTGTTTGATCACCCAGAGCATTGCCGGTCTCAACAAAAAAACAGTCAGAATAACAAAGGCCGCATATATTGCTACAATTTTAAGAGCTCCTTGATAATGATACTGGTAAAAAATGCCTACAAGGACGGCATTACATGCAAGAAATTGGGTCAGTAATTCACTGCTTAATGCTGCTGAGAGTCCTAATCTGCCAAGCTCTGAATGGGTTAGTTTGAGGTCACTGACAAAGCTACAGGTGACAGGAAACGGAGTCATAGAATGCACTAACATCACCAAGGAAAGCGAAAGCTTATCTAGTTCGAGTAGCCCCAAGTAACTGTTGACAATCGACGTGGTTACCGCACCAAATAGTACAGGCATCACCATAGACAGCACACCGCTGCAAAGGGCCACTCTCCCTGTCTTTCTTATTAGGCTTAAATCCATTTTAACTCCATTTAGAAATACAAAGAGTTGGAAACCGAATCCACCAATTGTGCCAAACAGTTGATCACTGTCGATCGCAAACATGATCCTTTTGTAATCTGCTTGCAACCCGAGGCCTGCCTTACCAAGGATCATTCCAGCCTGATACAAAAATCAATTATACTAAAGTTCGAGCATATGCTTGATTATATATGTACATATAAAATCATACTATTACATTAAATAAGGAAGTTAATGCATGATAAGATTGTAAGAGGAGAAATGGGATGGTATTATATATAGCTAGCTTGTTAGGCAGCTAAAAAAGAAACAGGATCAGACAAGAGACATTACACAATTATAAGATGATCAGAACAATACGTACAAGAATCTGAGAAACCAACAAAGGGATGCTGAATCGCTTAAGGATGAAATGAAAAACATGGCTGGTGAAGAAGATTGCAAACATAAGTAGCTCCAACCTGGGCAATTGAGCCTCCAAAAGGTTACTATCGCCCTGAAAAACACCATGTGAATTAATAAATGGTGGTATGGTTGTGCATTGTCTTAATTGTGTGATATTGTGGTCTATTTCATCTGAATAAGAACTCATATTGCTACTGATCGATGATGGGGGAAAGCAAGGTGCGAGGGAGGGGATGAAATAAAAAAGCTGAGAGCATAAAACAGGAGCCTTCTGTTTGTTTCTCCTGAACAAAGTTCTGTCATCTCTTACTCGTCAGGTTGTTTCCTGGCTTGACTGCATGGGATAGAAATTAAATATTCCAGTTGTCCATTTGCTCTTATCAACAACGAAAAATAATAATAATTCTTAAAAAAGAAACAACAGAAAAGCGAACTGTCCAATTACTTATGAAAACAACATGGCACTTAAAACTGCAAGAAGTTAGCTCCATTTGCTATAAATGGACATGCCAATTACTTCATGATACGCTGTTCACAGGTCTAGGAAAGGCTGTGTCAATGCGTAAGTACTTGTGTGTGTTGCCTAATTAGTTATTTATAGTGTGTTAAAACTCAAGTATACGCAAGTATATACGTTGCTAAATTGTTACCAATTCAATGCCGAAACAAGAGATCATATAAGGATATACATGATGACTCTTTTTCTGAGTCAACTAACTTTTGACTCTCAGCTTTTATAAAATATATAAATAAATCAAGAAATGCATTTTCATACAATTCTTCTAATTTATTTTACGAGTTTTTTTTTTATATATGATTGTTAACTATTTTTGCATGTTTTCTTTGGTATTGAATGAGCAACAAGTGAGAGAAAAACAAAAGAAAACAAATAATAATAATAATAATAATAATAATAATAAAGAAAGAAAAAAGAATATTATTTTTAGAGTGAGGTGGATCAATGGATAAGTAAACCTTCATGTGTTCTTTTCACTCCATCCAATACACCAAAAGTTTCTTTTCTTAGGTAGTGTTATAAAAAATATATAAAAATAAATATATTATTGAGATAATTTTAGAGTGAAATACCATAGGAGATATAGAAGAGATGTATCTCTAGAGATAATATTTAATATTTTTTATTTTAAAAATATCCTCGTAAAATCTCTTAATCCAAAATTATCCACCTAAGACATGTAAATATAAAAATAATAATTATTATAGTTTTAAAACTTAACTTGAAAGATGACTCAATTCAAGGCCCAAGTCATACGTTGAAAGAGCATATTGGGTTGACTTAGGTTAATATATAGATAAAAATAATTATTATCATAGTTCTAAAATTCGATCCGGAAGTTATGGGTCAAGAGAGACAACTTATGTTGATGCAATTTATATATGTATCAAGAATCAAAGCAACCTAGTTTTGACCCCCAAAAAAATTCAAAAAACAAAGTTAATTGATTTCGAACATATGTTTTATCCTAAGTTGAAAGTAGACTTGGGTTTTTAACTATATGAGGTCGGGTCAGTTTTTTCTCTATTTTTTCTTAAATCCTGACCAATTCAAGCCCTTGATCTATCAATCCCTGTTCGACTTTAATTTTATAACTAAGGTTATTATAATATTATTAATTTCAACATTCAATATAAACTAAAGTAAAAAATAATAATATATTTTTTTTAATATGTAAGTTTGAAAGTAATGCATATTAAAGGTCAAATTAACTTCTTTTATATTTTATTTTTTCTTGTCCACCACAAAAAAAAAATGATATAGAGAAGATCATTATGTTTAATTATATACAACTATCAAACATAATTATGTCTCTCTCTTATTTTCAGTTTTATCTTCATTGTTTTTGTCTCTTTTATCCCGAAAATAGTAACCAAACACTACCTTAGTGTCAACGCTTCACTGCGGTTTTGGCAAAAAATGATGTTCAGGTATAGAAATAAGGTAAAAAAATAACATAAAAAATTAGTCATAACTAATCAATAACTTTGGTAAACAAGCTTGAGCCAACTAGGGATTTTCCACCAAATTTGTAAACTGGATCATGAGTTCTGAATAACCTAGTAGAATAAAAAACTCATATTAACTTTTCAAACTCATGACTCAAGTTATTATACTAAAAGAACCTAATCTAGAAAAAGCATGAAGTCTAATTCCTAACATATCAAATATTGAGAGATGAAATTGAAAAAACAATTTTAATTATACAAAAGGATTTTAAAAAATAGCAATTTAAATAATAAGGATCAAAATAAAAATAAATCTTATATTTAATTGAAAGGTAAAATTGAAAAAGAAATCAATTTAGTAAATAGAAAAAAAAAATTAAACAACCAAGGATCAAAATTAAAAAAAAAACATAAAAACAATGTTGTAATTAAAAGGTGAAATCGAAAAGAATAATAACTTTTACAAAAGGTCCAAGAAAAAAAAAATGATAACAATGAGAATCAAATTTGAAAACATAATACCATCAATTCGAATTGAATGATAAAATTGAAAATGACTAAAACTTAATACCATCATTGAAAATAATTAGATTCTTCATCTACGATTGAACATTTACTAGCATGACCATGATTCATTCTCATCGTATCCATAATCATATTCTTATAAAGATTACTATTGTCATCTACAACTCTATATACGTTGCTAAAACTAGAAGTTGACCCAACCATCATTCCTATCATGGTATCGTGAGGAACTCATGGTTCTTTTTTTGCTTACCAACATGTGTATTTTCTGTGAACTGTTTTTGTAAAAGATGCATCGTTACAACATTTGTATCAAAAAACTTTTTATTTTTACACCTCTTGCATAGACATCTAATACCTCTTCCACTAATATTTTTCAAATTAGAAAGTGTATAATTAATAAAATTACGAATCCCATTACAATAATTCATCCTCTACGATTCTTAGAGTGAATCTATATATATTCACCAATGATCATCCATTAATTATATTAAACTTATATAAAATAATGATGATAACATGTATTAATTAACTAAGTTAATTAAATAATTTATAAAAATATTGATTTAGTTCAAACTTATTCAATCTATTTTAACAATACTCTTGATTCATTACCAATTATCTATATAAATTAAATTTCTATATATTTACCAAAATTTCAACTTGATAATAAAATATAAAATGGACCTATGAAATAAGTGATTAGTACTTAAAATTGCATTTTTATCATGGTTTTATATCATCATTTTGCACTTGAAGTATCAATAACTCCTTAACTAAAATATGTTTTATAATAATGTATCTAATAAGATAAGATACCTATAATTTGTGGTAAACGTCTATTTTTAATGCAGGCCTATCACATAAATGAAAGGATTGATTGATGACTTGAAGAACTTAAATTGCAAGGATAAAGAGATGACCAAACTTAGAAAAGAGATGTCAGTGCAATCCAAACCGGAACACTGTTCGGTAATTGGGCCATATCTGGAGCTACAGATCTCAGATTTAGGTCCAATTTATATGGATGGAAAGGTAAGACATAGGCCTACAACTTTCATATGGAGCCCAAGATCTAAAAAGGCCATTATCAAGTCCAAATTGTAGCAACAACAAAGAAGCCCGAATCTGTCTTCCAGCCCGAGCACTGTTCGGTATTTTGGCCATATCTAGAGTTCTAGAAGTCCAAATGAGCTGAATGTTTTACACAAGAAAGCTGAGACAATTGCCTACAACTTTCATGTTTGCAACTGGCTCCAATTTTGACGTTATCAATGACGTTTTGGGCAGACAAGAGAAGATAAGGATTGTCACCAAGTCAAAAGTTGGTCACCCACTTATCAATTAGTCATCAAATCAATAGTTCCTAATTTTGGCCTATAAAAGGAGGCATTTGCCATGCATTTAGGCATCTTGGTTTCCAGATCAAGATCATGCTCTTCCTTTCTCTCTTTGTATTTTTTATGCTTTGTTTTCATTAATATTAAGTTTATGCCTTTCATTTCCTTTCCTTTACTTAGTTAACTTTTATGTTCTTATTTTGTTTATCTATTTTGCTTTCTTTCATTATGTCTAGCTAAGTTAATTATGTCAAGGTGAAAAGGTTACACTAATGGTGTAAGAATAAGTATAATGTAAACTTAATATGGACTTTAATGTTTATTATTATTATTATTATTATTATTATTATTATTATTATTATTATTATTATTATTATTATTATTGTTATTATTATTATTACTATTGTTGTTGTTGTTATTGTTGTTTTATAATTTTTTTTTATAATTTGTACAATTAACCTCCTTGTGGTTCGACCCCGGTCTTGCCGGGTTATTTATTACTTCGACACTCCTGCACTTGGGAGAAGACATCAATCTTTTAGTCGTGTCAATAAGTTATTGTTTATTTCATCTTAAAACACTTAAGTTAAAAATTCAACATAAATTTCATCAATTTACAAATAAATACAACATCAAATCTAAAGCAAATCATAACATATACAAATCATAAATTCATACAACAAATTTGAATGAGAAAAACTTATAAAACATATAAATAGCAAAACAAAATACATATACCACAAAAAAATCAATATTTTAAAATTAAGTTCAAATAAAAAAGATAGATTTGCTTACTTAGAGTAGAGAATCCTTAATAAAATTTAAATTAAAACACAGATACTAACAAATTGAGTATTATAGTGGCTAGATATGCTGTGAAAGATTGAATTGTGTTGGGATGGAGAGAGAAGGTGATTGTTCGTTGCAAAAAAAATGCATAAAAAAGAAGAAGAAATATGGAAGGGGGAGAGGAAAGTCAATCGTCTAGTCATAAATTAAATATCATTGATGATATTTATTAATAAAATTATTCCTTCAATAACTCTGTTGGTCATTATACCAATAACAATGAAACAATACCATGTGATCACATCTTTTTGAATCCCACTGTAATTCCTTTTGTATATACTAAGAAAATTTTTTTGTCGGCATATTTACTAACATGCTTTATTATTGGTAATGTCATTAGTAAAAGTTACATATCAATGTACTATTTGATTTTTTTTCATTCATTAGTTTTCTAATGAAATTTTCTTGACATACATTGAGAGAATGTTTTTGTTGGTATTTATTAATAAATTCAGAAAGAAAAAAATTCTATTGGTATCAACTATGGTAATATAC